TAGAGGGAGAAGAGCGAGGCTCCGCCGAGGTGGGGAGGGGGGGAGGGAGGGAGGGACATAGCTGGGAAATAGGTGGATCTGGGCCTGATCCTGCTTTCCTGTTCAGCTGGATTCCTCTCAAGGAAGCTTTCTTTCCACGGCCCAAGAGCTCCAGAGGAGGCATGACTTGGCTCCAGGATGTCCGCGGACGCAGTCGTGACATGTAGCGCTGGACTAGCGAAGGGCAGGTGCGAGGCTGCCTTTGAGCCTGCGAGGTGTGGTTTTTCTCACACGGACCCCCCCGCCGCGATCCCAGCTGCGGACCCACAGGCGGGAGAAGGAAGAGGGAGGAAGCGGAAGGGCTGGCTTCCATTTAAGGGCTGGCTTGCTATCTATGCCTGTTGTGATGAGGTTGGCAAATGAAGAAATGGCACCCAGATTAGATAATGTGAGCGGCTAAAAATCACGAGTGACGTGAGCTCCCAAGTGGCCATGAAAATGACCTTTCAGCTCTCAGTTGAAACATCTGAATGTTGGCAGTGCAATAGAAATAGCAGAAAAGGCCATTGGGTGGTCGAATCCAAGATACCCGATCAACTCAGTGCCCCTGCGTTGGATCCAGGTTTAGACATGTTTAAAGTAGATGTGTCCCACTGATTTCAGTCTGAGGCTGGTGCTGCATATAATGCTTGGCCAGGTTTCATGGTGGTCTACATTTGGACATTAAGCTTTAGTGGATGAACTCAAACTTCACACTAAGCCAGAAAGAAGCAACTCATGTTACAGTTTAACATTACAGACCACTATACCTAGAGATATTATTTATGGCAGTTGCTTAGGATTGGGAAAAACAGAAGTCTCTCAATACTGTGGTATGAGGTAATTCTCCCTCACTTCTTCAGAGAAGAACTGCCTTGTTCAATAAATAACTTGCTACTTAAACTTTATATTAGTTCAGCGCTGTTCTTTCAGGCCTGCTGAGCCCAATTCTTGAGTGCTAGTTTAACTAAAATGAGGTCATTCACCTAAATAAAGTATCTTCATTTTCATATTACCCTCATGAAAATGACTTTTTTTGCTTTATTTGTTTAATAAAGAGGGGGAAAACCAATAGTGGGAAAATGGGGGAAGAAGACAAAAACTATATATACATATATGTTTTTTTTATCTGCGCTCAGTCGTTACCAACTCTGCAGTGACTGCTTTTGGACGAGTCCTTTTGCAGTTTTCAAGGCAAGGTGTTTCGGA